ATAAAGTTAAAATCATAAATAATATTCAACGTTAAACTGGTACGTTGTAACGTCGAAACATGTAGAGTCGTCAACTTTTTGAAGGCCATAGATAGGCCTAAATAAAATGTTTTTAACTGTGTACGAGTTTAACGTTGAATATTATTTATGATTTTAACATAAGTAAACCTTTTCTCCCTCTTTTACAGTCAGGTCAGCAACAGATGAATTTTATAACCAGTTGATTTTTGTAATCTTGTTTATGCATCATGGTATTTCTTCATACCTCTACATCCAAGTGTTTATTTCTGTTATACAATTGTTACCTTCTCAAACAAAATGGTCTTATTACTTTGTGTATGATGCAATATAAAAACAAGAGGGAATCCTCAATAGCTATGGTACTTGGAATTCTTTTAGGCCAGATTAGAGTAAATTAATCTGTGAGACCTTTTTATTAGCTGTATTTTTGTGTACCAACAATACCAAGCGTGGGGCTCACGTATATCGGATTCAATTCTATTACTCATCAGGATCACTACCAACTTACCCCAAAATTTAAATTACTTTAGACAGGATTAGAGTAAGTTAATCTATGAGATCTGGGGCGTGATGAAATACATAAATCTAAAGGCTTTAGCTCACTGAGTCCAAAACTGTAGTTAGATCTCAAATCCGTCAAGAGATGATAGAGCTATGAGCTAAAAGTTTCTGCTTGAAAAAAACAAATTCAGAACTATTCTATGAGTCACAGCTAAAAAAGAAACTTGGGTTTAAGAGGTTAACAACGTTGTAGTTCAAGATCTCACCCCATATTCTTGCTTGACACTATATATATTAATTCTTCTGCAGGAGGCCATTGCATCCTGAAGAGGTAGGCCAAGAGAAGACCAGAGCACATCAACAGATCATGTCTCAACTAGCCTCAAATAATGTACAAATTACTCCAGTTTCTAGTAAGGTTAGTGTCAAATAGACAAACCAACATTTGAATTAGAAACAGAGTTCAGTATCGAACTATTGACCAAGAAGTGTAATAGGAGACGGGTACTTGATGAAAATAACTCTCATTGTTAACACTTGTTTATACAGGAATTTTAAACTGAACACATTGAGCTGTGTTACAGAATAATTTTTTAGTGGATGGTAACTCAGAATATTTCTTGATAATAATGTAACTGAACATAATTGTAATAGTGCGGTTAGTTAAAGACGAAATTGTTTTACATTTTAGCTTGAATTGAAATAACGGTTATTGTACTCTGTTATGCATTTACAATTAATGCATGCAAACACCACATGAACAAGGAAACTCTCTGTAATAATTAAAAAGTAATTAAGCAATACTTGTATTATTGTGTAACATACCTGTCTGGTATCATGGTGTGTTTGCATTCCTTGCATATTTTCTAGGAGTACTCATAAAAAATTTTGTGTTCATCTTTCTGGCAGTGCTATTGACCAAATAAGTTTTTTGTAGTACAATAACTTCGGTATTGACTGAGAGTCATGTAGATTAAAAAGCATCATATATCAATTTTTAATTTATTTTGGTGGTGGAATGACTAATTTTCTCAAAATGAAACCATGGAATAGGAACATGGAGCCTCCTCGTTTGAACAGTTTGCCGTGTGTGCGCACTGTGGTCAGTTAAGCAGGTGCTTCACTAGGTGTGACTTCTGTAAGACAGTCTTGCCTCAGCCTGTCAAGGTACACAAAAAATCTGTAATGAAGGACCTGGTTATCTCCGGAAACTCGTGGACATCGTTGACCAAACAGAAGTTCTATGGTAGCAAGCTAGCGGAACATTATCAAGCCCTTGGAGGAGACGAGCACCAAGGAGAGAAGATCTTTTCTAGTTCAGGTGAAGCCAAACAAATGAAAAAAACAAGAACAAAAGGACAAGAACCAGGTACAGTATTAAGTTTAAAAGCGGTAAATAACTTGTATACAAAATCTTTAGAAGGAACAGTTGTGTAAGTAAAAATCAAGAACACCACTGACTAATATTTACTAACAGTTGTGTGTTTGAATTAACCATATGAAAAGAACAAAAAGTGCTAAAGAGTACTATATATATACACATACATGATCATTTAAGTCCACGGGATGAAAATAAAACTAGAAGTTATAAACATGACTCAGTGATTTAATATTTTAATCAGGTCAACATTCATTAAAAAATAATAATAACTACTCCATTGGAACACACTTATAATTTGGTAAAGTACCTGAAATGTATTATATTCAACAGAATTTTTAAGCTAGCATAGTGACCTAAAACAATTATTAAATCCTCTATAGTTTTTACCAATAACCTAAAAAACCACTTAAAATTGAAGTTGAAGTTAGCATAAAAATTGTGACTCGTGGGTAGATATAGCGAAATATGAGCATTTGATTTAATTACCACTTAAAAAACTGCCAGTCTCAATTGATGGGGGAAATTTTAAGACCTTTTTCTCATTCATTTTAGGGGTAAAATATTTAACTTGTGCTTTCCTTACGTTAGTTACAAAACCAGAGTTATTTATAACATTATTCTTAATCTTTTAAAACAAGCTAAGATTGAGGGGTTTAGAAAAGAAAAAAATATCGCTTATTTGTTTCTATTTTATTTTTAAATATTTTGTAGAATGTCTTACACTATCTTCTGATGATGAAGACAGTAAAGAAAACACAAGCGTGCACTCGCAAGTAAATTCTGGTTCAGATGATTTGGTTATTGACAACAATTCAGAATTTTTTGATGATAAAATGTTAACTCAGGCTACCTCGACCATCTTTGCACAGAGAACAGAGAGAATGAGAGACAAGGTAAATAATTTTTAGCTCTTTGAATTAATAAGAGTTTTATATCTCTTACAAATTTTTATTCTTGTTTATTAACTCTCTCAACACGGGCTCAGTCAATTTGACCAACCACATAACCTTATTATACTTGATTAAAGTCTTTATCGATTTAATACTTTTAGCTTTCAATATAGTGCGTATATCTTCACAAAATTTGGCAGTCTTTCAGTTAATATTACAAGTCTTACACATACACAAAATCATATTTTTTAGTGAAGTATTTTTAATAAAATAAAATAAAGATTTGTCCATTAATGTATTGAGTATTTGTTTTGAATAGTTTGTGTACAAAGTAATTTTCATGTTAAAATTGAAAATACTTTTCCTCATTTCAGAAATTTCAAATTTATTTCCTTTGTGTAATCGCCAAAACCTTCTAAATGTATTTCAAACGTTTTTTTTTTCAGTAAAACTTTATAGTTTGTGTTATTTTCTCTACCCTATTTCAAAATGGGATCAGTCAATTCGACTGACCTCATAACCACCAAAAAGAAAATTGAAATAAACCTAAATTACCCTTTTTTTTTCTTTCTAGAATGATCATTCAACCTGCAACATGAGACTACTTTTGTTTATCCTAAGTAG